ACTAATGTGCGTTAAAGACTGGGAAGATGCCAGAAGACGAAAACAACAATACACAGATGATTCGATGCAAGAATATTTTTCTAACTTAGAAATAACAGAATCTTCTGGAAGCACTTAGGTTTGTAATTTACTATTCCTAGCTACTGTACTCTTTTTTTCTTCGCTAAGGTTTTGTCCCGATCTCCCCACGGGTTTTACTTAGCAAGGTTTTTAACGAGGCAGTCATTTACGTGTACTCCTATTACGTCAATTTAATAAAATCACATCTTTTGGGGCATTTGATATTTTTTTTAATTAAATTAAAAAAAAAACAAGGGCCGGGGCCGGCCCGTGAAGGGCCTGGGCCCAGGCCCGGCCCTGGCCCTTATGGACTAGGGCCAGGGCCTAGATCGGGCCTGAGTTTTTCTTCTCAGGCCCGGCCCAGGCACGGCCCAGGCCCGTGATGGGCCTGTGGTCAAGCGTGCCGTGCCGGCCCGGCACGGTACGTTTGACAACTCTAATTCCCATTACCATTCTCATTCTCATTCTCATTACTATTCCACCATTGTAACCAAACGCACAAGAGAAAAAAATACAAAAAATGAGGGTATAATGGTATTTTAATATGTGGAATTGTCGCAAAAATTGCACGAGTTTTACCTCCACTGGCGGAGCACGATCCAAAGTCAAAATCCGTGGAAAGAAGCCTAATTATCTCCTCTTCGAGGGCAACCATTGCGAGCTTGCGTGTTCCCAAAATCCCCATAGGAATGCAGGGCAGTGCCCTCCTATAAGGAGGTGACGACATCTACTTCTCCGCCCCAATGAGCCCACAACATAATAGATGAGGGTTTTGTTCGTTTGTTTGTTTCTTTTTTTTGGTTGAAATTAATATTTCACATAATTAATAATAAAATGTTTCTTTAATAGCAAAATGGTTAAATTAATAGTTTAAATTTGTTAAAAATTATTAATAAAAAAACTAGACTTTGAGTTTAGGAAAATTTTAATTTTCGTAAATTAGAGAATTATGTTTTTCAATTAACTGGATATTTATTTTTAGGATAAAATGTTATTTTAGTTTTTGTAAATTAGAGAGTTATGTTTTTAAATTAATTGGATATTTATTTTTTAAGATAAAATGTTTAAGAAAAAAAGAAAAAATATATATTTTTATGAGAGTGCAAATATGGTTACAAATATGTAATAAAAATACACTGATGATGCGATATAAACTATCAGATTTTCATTATATTCCATCGAGTAATATGAATGAGACGTGATTTGATTATTCAAAACTCCTATACAATTCTCGTTTGCTACTAATCCAATATTTTTTGGTGGGGATTTTTTTTTTTGAAACATATGTAATGGATCATCTAGCATCTTTTTGGAATTTTCTCTCTGTGACATTTGCTTTGCATGTTAGTCGTGTGTAGCACTAGCAGTAAAAAGACAAATGATTTTAAAAAACGGAACTACACATTTGTATTTGGAACTCGATTACTTGAGTTGGGTTTGGTAGACCATTACATTTCATTTATTTTACCGATTTGAATTTAAAATTTGAGTTCTACTACAGTAAAATACTCTTAGAAACAGTTACATTTAACTTTTTTACTACAGTAAAAAGCTATAATATGAAATTACATTTTAACTTAAAAATTTAAATTAGCGAACTAAACAGAAAACAAGAAGATTTTACTGAAAAGACAAGTCTTTTAACGAAATGATCCAATCAATAATAGAAGTCAAAAAAAAAAAAAAAGCCAAAGTCCCTCGAGCACTAACGAACTGATCCAATCTTAGAACATCCACTGGCAAAGATACAACAGTTCTCTAATTACCCATCTCAAGTATAACTAACACACCGTACCATTTACATTATTCCTCAGCTCTATTCAAAACGTAAAATATCATCCTAAGTATTATAGAGATGGCAATGGACGCGGGGTGAGAGTGGAAGATGATTTTTCATTTCCATCTCTGTTCCTTTAATTATCTCTATTGTTGTTTCTATTCCCATTTAAAGAGGATCGGAGTTACAGTCGGAAATTTCTCACTAGGGGAGCCTTCTCATAATCTCCTCATTTCTCATTATATAAGACTATGTATGTCAAAATATAGCAACTTGAAACATAAATAGAGTAAAAATTCATTATAAATTTAGACTAAAATCAAAGATTCGATAATAAAAATTAAATTCTTAACATATTGCAAATTAAATTCAAAAGTAATAGCAAACACACAAGCGAAAAAAATTTAAAAACATCAAAATATAAATGTAAATTATCTTTGTCTATTCCTAATAGCTTCAAAAAGGAGATGAAGAGGCATAAGGTGGTGCATTCCAATGTGTATGTATAATATAGCAGAAGATTAGTAATTACCTTTTTTTCTTGCACAAGAAATTATGAGCTTGTTCGTTTGCACCTAAACTCAAAAAAAGTTTAAATTCAAGTTACAACGGGGTTGTTCTTTCGCATTTTTGAGTTATGTATTTTTTAGTGATGATCTTGAGTTGAGTTTGAGTTATAACTTGAGTTGAAGTTGTAACTTGAGTTTGTGTTTGGTTGCGTACATTTGAGTTATGGTTTAAGATAAAAATCTTTTTGAGTTTGTGTTTGAGTGAGCCAAAACTTGAATTTATATTTAGATAGTATTTTAATAAAAACTCAATGGTGATGAAAAATTTGAATATGGTATATGGGTGGAGTTTTATTCGTCTTTTCGTTGTCAACGTATTATAAAAAAAAAATCATCTCAATCAGAATTAAAACGAAAAAGTTATAGCATTTTTAAGAATAGAAAAAATACTGTTCATTAATTTGAGTTCGAGTTTTTGAACTCAAGTTGAAGGGGGCAACTTGAACTCGAGTTTTAGTCCCAAACTCAAGTTCAAACTCGAGTTCAAACTTAAAAGAATATAAAATTAAATAAAGTTGTAACTCGAGTTGCATTTTTTTGAGTTTTTATGGCTACCGAACAGCCCTAACTTTATTCAAGTTCATGTTCTTTTTGTAAAATTTGAGTTTGAACTTGAGTTTAGCCTAAAATATGAGTTTAAGTTCCTCATTCAACTCAAGTTCCTAAACTCAAACTCAAGTTAATGAACAATGGCCTCATTCGCTTTGCGGATTCAAGTTCAGATGTGATATGTTCTGAGAGTTTTTAACTGGAGAAGCATAAAACTAAAAACCCAAATCGATAAAATGAACGAGGCTAATATTTTTTCTATTCTTACAAACGCTATAACTTTTTCGTTTTAATTCCGGTTAAGATGATTTTTTTCTATGCATTCACAATGAAGAGACGAATAAAACCTCACCCATATACCTTATTACAATTTTCTATCACTATTGAGTTTTTATTGAAATACTATCTAAATATAAATTCAAGTTTTAACCTACTCAAACACAAACTCAAATAGATTCTCAATTCAAACTATAACTCAAAATGTGCACATCTAAACACAAACTCAAATTAGAATCCCAACTCAAATACACCTTAACTCAAATCAAGATATGAACTCAAGTCACCCTAACTCAAAAAATACAAATGAACAAGCCTTATAATCAATAGTTTCTCTTTGTCAATTAAAAAAAAATGCAGTTATTACATTTTTTTTAAAAAAAGTAATTCTAAAAGATTATGAGTGTATATATATTTACATAAAAAAAAATAATACATTAATATTAAAATGGAGGCATGATGAAAAGTACTTGAATGAAGGACTAAATTTTATCCTCATTCTCATCTTCATTCCCATAATACTCCCTCATAAATGAGATAAGACCCGTTTTGTGAGGATTATTATCATCCCTAGATTCCATACTAAGACTTAGTTTGGTAGTGCTGTAAGTTTAAAAAAAAATATTTTTAGCTGTGCTGAAGGAAGAAGCAACTGTTACAAAAAGAAGCTGAGTATTTGATAAACTATAATTATAGTAGCTGTGCTGGTTCTAAAATCAATGTAATAACATTTAATAAATTATGAAGTTGAATTGTTGTAGATAGTTAAAAATTACAACTATATTATATTATACTATAATATAATATATATAATTACAATATAATGTATATTTATTAATTATTAAATAAGATATAATATAATTATGATATAGAATATAATAATATTATTAAAATAATAATATAATATATATAATTACAATATAATGTATATTTATTAATTATTAAATAAGATATAATATAATTATGATATAGAATATAATAATATTATTAAAATAATAATATAATATATATAATTACAATATAATGTATATTTATTAATTATTAAATAAGATATAATATAATTATGATATAGAATATAATAATATTATTAAAATAATAATATAATATATATAATTACAATATAATGTATATTTATTAATTATTAAATAAGATATAATATAATTATGATATAGAATATAATAATATTATTAAAATAATAATATAATATATATAATTACAATATAATGTATATTTATTAATTATTAAATAAGATATAATATAATTATGATATAGAATATAATAATATTATTAAAATAATAATATAATATATATAATTACAATATAATGTATATTTATTAATTATTAAATAAGATATAATATAATTATGATATTATTTGTTACAATATTATTATTATATTATATTATATTATATTATATTATGAGTATGAATTTTAGATTAGAAAGATTGTAAATTTTAAATTTAATTAGGGATATGAAAATTTCATTAATTATACTATATTGATTTTCGCACAATTTAAAAATTAAAGTTGTTTTTAGGTTGTTTCTGATTTTGGTTGTAAATTCTTAAAAATTTATTCAAAAAATATTTTTAAAAAGATTTACTAAACACTAAAATCAGCTTCTGCTATAAAGAGAAGCTGATTTTAAGAGGGAAAACAATAGCCTAAGTAATGTCACCTAAAATTACCCAATGGAAGAAAGCATGAACAAAATGGCTATTGTCTTGAGCCTAGAAGTGGCACCAACCACATCTTCCGACTCCTCCCCCAATCACAATTCATTTCCATAAACCAAAAATTCACTACCCAAAGGAAGGAAAAAAAAAAACATCCAAACCTATAAATAAATAAACTTCCCACGTCATCACAACCATATCTCTCTCTCTCACATCTTATCTTCAAAAGAGCAATGCTCTTACGCGGCGCAATCTCACGGCCTCTGACCTCCTCCGCCGCCGTCCGCCTCCCAACCACCGCTCCTGCAGCCGCACTCCCCCAAAACGTTGCCGTCTCATCCTCCCAACCTTCTTCCGTAACCTTCTCGATCTCCGAGAAGGACCTCGAGTCACGCGGCTTCGTCCTCCGGCGGACCGCCGAGGATCTCGACCTCGACCAGCTGAACTCGGTCTTCTTGGCGGTCGGATTCCCCCGGCGCGACCCGGCCAAGATTCGGATCGCGCTGGAGAACACCGACGCCATGCTCTGGATCGAGCACGCGAAGACGAAGAAGGCCGTGGCCTTCGCCAGGGCCACCGGCGACGGCGTCTTCAACGCCATAATCTGGGACGTCGTCGTCGATCCGTCGTACCAGGGGATCGGGCTCGGGAAGGCCGTCATGGAGAGGCTCATCCAGGAGCTCCAAGAGAAAGGGATTTCCAACATCGCGCTCTACTCCGAGCCCAGAGTTCTAGGGTTTTACAGGCCCTTGGGGTTCGTCGCCGATCCCGATGGCATCCGAGGCATGGTTTACTCCAGAAAAAACAAGAAGAAGAAATGAAACTCTTTCTTTTTTCAATTTTATTTATTTTGTATTTGTTGGAGATGATTCGTTGTGAAATTGTTCAAAGGATTTGTTTTTTCTCAAGTGGTAAGCTTTTTTTTTTTTACTACTGCAATAATACTTGGGGAAAAAAGAAAAGAAATTGACAAGTCAGGCCTAAAAATCTATAAATCAATCACAAGAAACAAAAATAAGGTCAACAGTTTTCTTTTTAATTTCTTTCATCAATCATAGAGAAATGAAAATTGCAAGTGAAATTATTTTTAGTTTACTCTATTCATCAATCATATACAAAGTATAGAAATGAAAATTGCAAGTAAAAGTCTTTTATTGTTAGTTTAGCAAAAGTACCTAAAATCTAATTTATTATAGTTCTTCCCTTGTTGATAAGTGTTTTTGATTGGGTACCAAAACTCAATAAGCGTTTATTGATTCATTATTACTCAAAAACAACAAAAATACAAGTCACTGCCAAAGTACTAAAAAAAAGCCCTTTAAAAGGACCAATCTATTGAAGTGCCCATCTTGATCCGAAGGCATATATATATATTTTTCTGAGTGCTAAGAGGCGTCCTTGGCGTTCTGCAAGAAAGCAGCTGAGCAAAGAACAGAAGCAATAAAGGCGAAAATTCCCAAACCAATCATCAGAGAAAAACCCGCCACCACTAAATCCAGTATGCTTTGCACACTAAAACCCATCACCGATATCATTTTCTTCTCCTCTGTTCTGTATTGATCTCTGCGTCTTCTTCAATGTATGAAAACAAGACGACAAAACTGGATGTGGGTTTTCTCAATTCAAGCCTTCACTTCAAGAATTCGAAGGAATTTCGTCCATCAAATACTGGATTTGCCTCAACTTCTTATACATGTGTATGTATATGCGTGTGTATATATATGTGTGGAAGATTAGAGTACAGAGAAAATTTTGGGTTGGGGATTTCGGAGAGGCTCCTTTTGTTTTGGTTGGCGTGCGTTGTGATGATTTTTTGCACGTGTCTCTCTCCCTAGCAAAGATGAGCAATTTTTACACGTGGCACTTTGTTAGTTTGCTACGTGGGACTTGACTCGTGGACGTTCTCTTCTTATTGGGCCGTTTTCTGAGACACCAACGTGAACGTCAGCTTTGATTGGGCTCAGATCACTCTCTCGTGCCAATGAAGCTAGGGTAATCTTGACGAACATGAAATCAGGATTTTTTATTTTTTTTATTTTAATTTATAACTTTTTTTAGTTAAATAATTACACTAAAAGTTTAGATTTATAAACTCTTAAAAATAAATTCTTTATTTTTTCGTGGAGAAGGGAGGGGGGTAGGAGGGGGCTTATCCCAGATCCAATTTATTCCATTAATTACAAGAAAAAAAACCCTTTGATAATAAGCAATTTCGCACGCTTAAATTTTTATGCAGTTCGGTCAAATTCGACTTTTTCTTCTTAATCTTATTATGTATCAGATGTAATCAGATAATATAGATCTTTATTACAATAATAATATCATAAGATGTTTTTCGGTGGTCATATCCTAAGATGTTTGTTATGTTATTGATAGGGGACCTTGTTATCTTGAGTCAGCTGGTACGATTTTTAAGGGCAGTGTGTTTTTCCACTAGAATTGGAAAATGGGACGATATTGGATACTCTTTACACAGTTCAATTATTGAGGTTTTGATGGACCCAAATAACAATCTGCAGAAATTTATAAGAAGCATAAAATCGGTCAGCAAAGCTTGTCCCATGTGGCCACTTGGGTGTTGGTGACTTGCTTACAAGCAACATCTTTTTTCCTGTTTTATCTCTCTTTTTTTTTTTTTTAACACTCTTCTCTCATTGGGAAAAGCAAAAACTTCTAATTCAATTTGACTCGTTCTTTCTCATCCCTTATCATTTGCCTCTTGCTTGGAATTTTTTCAGAATGTCATATTTCAATTACAATATATGTTACCTTAAGCTGAAATCTTCGGAAACATTTTCTTTTTTGCTTTTAGAACTTTAGCAAGTCACGCACACAAACAAGCCTCTCAATGGTTCTACAAGTATATTTTCAAGCCTTGCTACATTGGGGACTTTTTTTTTTTTTTTTTTAATGTTGCAAATTATTATATTAAAATTCATAATCTCTGTCTCTGGAGTCATTTTTGGTCTGAATAGTTGACTTTGCTTCACCTTAAGAACATAGAAGATAAGTTTATAACTGATTTCTATTGTTAGAAGAAGAAGAAGAACAAGAAGGAGAAGAACTTAAGATTATATGATTAGAGTACAAGGACAAGCAAACCATAACTTGTAATCTTGGATGGCAGACATATGGTAGCTCCTGTGTAAATTGTAGTATTTACATTGTCAGAAGACACTTGCCCTTCAAGAGAAACCCCGATCAAAATGGTATTCTCTCTCCTCAATGCAAAAATTTCAGAGGATTCCGACTTTCTTAGATTGAATGCATTTTTTTTTTTTTTAATGTTTTTCTCATTACTTTTGTAAGAGCCCTTTTGACATTTACAATGGCGGGTGCAAATTGGAAGCATGGTTTGAAATTTGAACAAGTATAGCCATCTGAATCCATCCGCCATCTTACAAACCGATAGGTCCAAAACCTGAATAAAAATGCATTAAATTCACGGTTAGTTTAACAGGCACCAAAATAAACTTTATGTAACGGTTGCTTGTTTGGCACCTGGAGTTCGCATTGGCACTGGCCTTTTCATTGGCGTTTGAGTTGGCATCGGCATTTGCGGTGGCATTGGCATTGGCATCGGCATTTGCGGTGGCATCGGCATCGGCATTTGTGGTGGCATCGGCATCGGCATTTGCATTGGTGTTCGCAGTCTCCTTAGAATGGACGGTGGTTCTTTAATTTCGACTACAACAGCGTCGGATGTTAGAAAGGTTTTGGCCACGGAGGCTGCATGCTCCAAACAACATCTAACTACCTGCTCCATATATTTTTTAGTAGAGAAACGTAAATTTCATATCAGAATTTAGAGAAAATTTGCAACTGTTCTACATTTACTAGTCTTCTTGTGATATAATTTCACTTATTGAAGATCCTTTAAATCCTGATTATAGGCGTATTCATTGAACTTTCTAAAAGTTATCTTTCCATTATCTTTTACAAGTTGTCCTACAGCCACCACATATCTAAGTCATCAGAAATTAATAATTAATCTTCTTTGAAGTCCATTTCATCATGATACCTTTGATGGATCCATGATCCCGGCTTTCATCAGATCCTCATAACAATCTTTTGCAGCATTGTATCCAAACCCGGTGTCATCGCTTGCTAGAATCTGCAAGACTTAGCAAGTCCCAATGACGTTCATGAACTTATAAAGAGCAAAAATCTGTTTGAAAACTTAAAAGACGTGGAAATGAAAACTTCGTTTTGAGGTCAACCACTAGGATGCAATAATATTATCTACAGACCTTCTCCACAACAACATTGCCATTTGCACCAGCATTTTTGGCTATTAGTTTCACTGGATAACTCAAAGCTCTTTTGAAGATCTCAGCTCCAATCTGCACTCAAGTAGAAAGAAGACTTCATCAGTACTCAATTAGCCTTTGGCCGGAGTTAGGTTCGGATATAAAGCGATACGTACCCGTTGTTCATCGTTATCCAAGACTTGTTTGATACCATCCACCTTTGTTGATAGCCTCAAAAGACTGCAGCCACCACCAACTACAACACCTTCCTCTATTGCAGCCTGTTATAAGTAAAGAAAGCTTGAGAACTACATTGGTGAAGTGATTTTGGTTTATCAATTTCTTAGAAGTCAAAGTGAATGTAGAAGCTACCTTTGTTGCATTCAAAGCATCTTCAATTCTAAGTTGTTTATCCTTTAACTCAACTTGTGTTTGGGCTCCTACCTATTATTCAATTTACACAAAAAAAAAACAGCTTAGGAGGAAAAGCCATGATTCCACACTTGCGGATATCACAATGCTGAAATTTGGTAAAAATTTTCCATACCTGAAGAATAGCAATTCCCCCTGATAACCTTGCTATTCTTTCATTGAGGATCTTCTTTGGAAATTTCTCTTCAGTGTTCTGAAAAATTGGAAAACAAAAAATGTTTTGCTCCTGTAATTACTGCAATATACTAACAAATAACAGAAATTTGGTTTTTGCAGGATGTTCAGTGCACCTCAACGAGCCTCCGGATTTGAGTAACCCTCTTTTCAACTGCTTCCCTGGTGCTTCCATCAGTAACAATCAGTGTAGAATCTTTAGTTATCACAACCTTTGTGGCTGTGCCCAATACCTCCTTGCCAGCCTTTTCAAGAGTCAATCCCATCTCATCTCTGATTACAGTGCCTGAAAAACATAAGGGGGGAAAAAAGCCAAGCATTCAGAATGAACATTGGTATTGATTCTCAACTTATCAAATTATGCTTTTATTGTAAATAATATCAAGAATTTCTCTGATTAGAATGTTAAAAGTACTCTTGGCTCCTAATAGGCATCACAGCCATCAATATTAAATAAGTTCAAATTAAGAAGAAAAAGAAAATTGCATTCTTATAGATACCCTTATATTCTCTGAAATTGTAAAAAGCCCCTCTGCATTTTAAATATCCTAAAAATTCCTACAATGAGCTTGTCAAATCGGGGAAAATTCACATAGATTTGAAAAGGTTGCAGCCATAGCCTAGCAGTAAATTCACACTGACCTCACCTTGAGGAGTAGAGTTCAAGTCCCCTACGCTTAATTCAAAAAAGAAACAAAAAAAAAAAGATGCTCGAACTTAATACGCTACCTCCAGTTAAGATGGCAATGTCATCCAAGTAATGACTCTTGCGCTCGCCAAAGGCTGGAGCCTTAATGGCAGCTGCCTTGATCACACCTTTGAGCTTATTTCTAATAACTGGAGCTAGAGCTTCCTGCTCAATACCTTCTGCAACTATCACAATTGGATACTCCTCTTTTACTGCACTGTCCAAAATCCTAAACATCTCCTTCGCATCTGCAATTTTCTTGTCGACCAAAAGCAACTGCAACCGAAGAATTTGATGACATCTAATTACTCTATAGAAGGACACTGGGGCCAAGTAAACACAAAGTTCTTACCTTGCAGTTATGAAACTCTACGGCCATCTTGTGTCGATCGGTGACAAAGTAAGGCGACAAGTACCCGCGGTCGAACTGCATTCCTTCCACAACTTGCAGGCTGTTCTCTGTGCACTTCCCTTTCTCAATTGTGACAACACCCCTTTTTCCTACTTGGTGAAGAGCATCAGAAATCATGTTCCCAACTGTGTAATCATTCCCCGCGCTCACTGCAGCCACATGTGCAAGCTCATGATCCTCAACCTGCAAGCATTACAATATATAACAATTGGACTGAGCAAAGATTAATCTTAGCAATAAAATATTTTTGCTCTTTTGTCTTCAAGCTTTTGATCTGCGAAACAAAATAAAATAAGTAAAAAGAAACCTGTTCACCTCTCTGGACATCTTTTTGAGTTCAGAAACAAGGGCTGCCGCAGTCTTGTCAATCCCACGAGCAATTTGAACCGGGTTCATACCAGCTGAAATAACCTAGAAAAAGTTTAAATTATTGAATATCATAGGAGGAAGGAATGGACAAGTGAAAAGCCAATACAAGAATATAAACATCTTCTTAGAGACAAAGAAACGCCTGAATTTCATCAAACCTTATGATATATACGCATGTAGAATCTCAGCATATCACAAGTAGTATTTCGTAGTTGTATCCAAAAAAGACATGCTATGTAATGCCTCATATTCCAACATACCTTTACACCCTCGGCAATGAGACCTTGAGCAAGTATTATAGATGTGGTGGAACCGTCACCAGCAAGGTCATTTGTCTTTGCCCCAGCTTGCCTCACCAGTTTCACTCCAACATTCTCCACCGGATCTTCCAACTCAATCTTTCCAAATAAACAAATAAATACGAACCCAATTTAGAATACCATCATTTGTGCACCAAAGATAATTCCTTGAGCTAGGGAAACAAAATCATATATGAAGTTTAATATTTTGAGGCTTTTGGTATTTGAGTCTTTTAATCTTCAAGTTTCAACGACTACATCCCACATTTGGCCAACTTGTAGGCAGAATTAACAATGTGCATATCTTTATAATAACATAACATAGATACGACTATAGGCGGAGGCGACACACCTTCTAGAGGGTAGACGGCCGCCCCACCTGAATTTTTTTTCTTCTCTTAAAAGTATGAAATTATATATCTTTGTCCTCCATTAAAATATAAAATTTTATATCTGTCCCTCCTCACTTAATTTTCTAACTCCGCTCCTAGATATAATAAAGTGAATTTACCTCTTTGAGAACAGTCTCACCATCATTAACGATCTTGGGAGGTCCATACCTATTCTGAAGCACAACATTCCTGCCCTTTGGACCCAATGTCACCCCAAGCAACCCTGCCACCATGTCCACACCTGCCTACACCACGAAACCAAAACCACTGCATATCTTATCATTGCCACACACACACACGCACAAAATATATTATATATATATATATATATATATATTAAAGAACTTATAGTGTTTTTAAGTAAGGTAATTACATACCTGAAGCTTCTTTCTTGTAGAACCATCTTGGTTGAAGTAAATTTCTTTAGCGATGGCTTTAGCGTTTAGAGTAGAGAAAGAAGAAGATGAAGAAGGCCTTTTGGGCAGTGATGGGTTGGCGAAAGAAAGTGCAGAGATTGGGTTTGGAGAACACGCCATGGCTGAAACTCAAGTTTTGTTGAACTTATTTTGATTGAAAAGGTTGGATGAAAAAAATATCTAGATATGTAGTTACCAAAAAGTTTGGAGGATAAGAAGAGAAAGAGAGCGATACTGGCTACAAAAAAATCTAGTCTAACTTGTTTTGGCGCCATTCGGAGGTCACAAGAACTGTTAGTTTAATTATTCTACCAAAAAACTATATAGATTGATTAATTAATATATGGGCTTAACATATTAAATTTCTATCACGAAAGGGAGAATGACGGAAATAACATAATATGATTTTTAAAACAAATAAATAGCATAAAGTTTAGAGATGAAAAATAAATAGCATAATTTTGATAAATAAAAATTTATCATTCTATAAGTACTAAGAATGTCCCTAAACTATTAAAATTATAGATTGTGTTATTAAAAAATCTAGTGAGGTCAAATATAATATGATTTTTTTAAATAAATAGCATAAAGTTTAGAGATGAAAAGTAAATAGCATAATTTTAATAAATAAAAATTTATCACTCTATAAGTACTAAGAATGTCCCTAAACTATTAAAATTATAGATTTTGTTATTCAAAAATCTAGTAAGGTCAAATATAATTGTCCATAGTTTCTAATAATTTTTAGAGTAATTTCATCTATGGTTCTAAAACTGTTTAATAGGTGACACTTTAATCTCTTTTTTTATTTATAATTTTGGCAAAACAATCCCTCAACTCTTAAACCGTTTGCAATTAAGGGTTTTCCATTCAAATCCGTTAAATATTTAACATAATAGATCATGTGTAGAAAATAACATAATTTAGGTTGTATCTTATAATATATAAAAGCCGTAAAACAGTGGCTCCGTTTCGTCCTTCCTAAGACGAAAAACGTTTCGGCCTGTGAGAGGGCGAGGACGAAGCATTTCGTCCCTGTTTTTTTTTTAATTTCCATTTTTTTTTTGCTCTCTTTCCTTTTTTAGCCCCCCTTCTTTTTCTATTTGCTTCTTTAATCCTTTATTTTTGTTTTTCCACTCACTTTTATTTAATCTTATCATTTTTATCCCGTTTTCTTTTTTTATTTGCTTCTTTAGTCCCTTATTTTGCTTCTTTAGGGTTTACAGTGTAAAAGGAGGGATGGTGAATATTTCAATTATATAAAAAAACATGGATTTGAGTTTTTTTATTTTATTTATTATTATTATTATTATTAATGACTGTTTATTTTACCGATTTAAATTTTTAACTTTAAATTTTTACAGTTAAAAATTTAAAAAAAATATCACATTTTAACTTGAATTAAAAATTTAAATATGCAGAACGAACGAGATTTAAATAGTAAGATCTAAAGGTATTCATGTCATTTCACTAAAAAGATATGCATCTCACAACCACGTGCAAGATTCTATGAAAGCGTGTGGACGAAAAGCCTTTAATTGTAAACAATTCAAGAGTTGAAAGGTTATTTGGCCAAAATTAAAAGAGATGGACGAAAGTGGTAAAAAAAATTATTTACGTTAGTCTACTAAATAATAAATAATTGTTATTTAATTAATAAAAAGAAAATAAAAACTCACAATAACACTCTATTATTTAGAATTATATAAATAATAGGTCTGCACAAAACAATGACAAATTATGCATTTTTCTCATTTATACGTAAATAAATTATAATTTGAATTGAGAATAAAATCAAAACTGTGTTTGGATAAAGTGTTAAAAATTATTAGACTTTTGTAACAAATCTTATAAAATCTCAATTGTAAATGACATTAAAAAATATGTAATATAGATGACATTTTGTTCGTCTCCACATTATGAAAACCTTAAAAAAAAATTTCAATCAGAATTGAAACGAATGAATTATGACAATTTCAACCTTGAAGTTGATGAGAGAAAAAAAAATCCGAATTGTTTTCTATAGTGAAAACAATTCGGATTGTGTGAATTTGGATATGGAAGCGAATTATAAAATCAAGGATTTGAACCATTGTAAATAATTTGAGTTGTTCTCATTTAGTTCTCTAGTAAATATAAATTGGAATCTTGAACTATGATTTGAATTTAATTTTATGATTTGAATGGTTGAAACAAACAACACCTTCCTTTTTTAAGGCGGGGTGTGTAATGAGTATTTTTTAAAAGAGTAAATTGCACTGTTGTACTACTCAAACTATTCAGTATTTTGCATAATAGACTCCAAATTTTTATTTTAACAAATTGTACCATAAACTTTAAAATCAGGGTGTCCTGGGGTGCCTCGGGGCTGTCTTGGGGGTGCTCCGGGGGTCTCCCGAGGGTGCTCCTGGGGTCTCCCGGGGGTGCCCGTGGGGCGGCCCGGGGGTGCCCCGCGGGTGGTCCGGGGGTGCCCCGGCGGTGTCCTGGTGGTGCTCCGGGGGTGTCCCGGGGGAGCCCTGGGGGGCTGGCAGTGCCCAGGGGGTGGCCCGGGGGTGTACCAGGGGTGCCGTGGGGGTGTCGTGGGGGTGCCCCGGGGGTGCACCGGGGTTGCCCTGGGGTGCCCGGGGGTTGGGTGCCCAGGGGGTGCCCCGGGGGTGCCTCGGGGGGCCGGTGGTGCCCCGAGAGTGTACCGGCGGTGCCGTGGGGGTGCCCCGAGTGTCCTGGGGGGTGTCCCGAGGGTGCCCCGGGGTGTCCCGGGGATGCCCCGGGGGTGTCTTGGGGGTGCCCTGTGATGAGGACATCAGGGATGCAAGGAATACTAACCATCCAATTTAAGTCCCAATTGGTCCGGTGACGAGGTATCGAGACATTACATGGCCAACTTACATGTCATTCCAAGATACACGTGCAAGGGGGAGTCCAAGAGGATGTAGGTGTGTTTTCCAGCCAGGAATCAAGTCTAGATTGCGGATCAAGACTTGATTTCGTCTTAATCTTATCTTTTTAGACTTAAGTGTCAGTTTAAACATTTAAACTCTATAATAGGCGTTTAGAAGGAAGGAGTTGGAGTCAAATTCGGATTCCTTCCCTAGGATAAGTTTTTAGGCGTGTTTTATCTTGTTTTGAGGTTTATTCTTGACTTCTTGAAGAAACTATTCCGAACTTATCAAGGTTTCCTTGTGGCGTTCAAACTTGACTTATCAAACGGATTTCCATACTCGTTTGTGGCGTCTTCACCATACCAAGGTTCTTACTTTGCTAAGCAACAGGTCGCAGTTTCCATCAATTTTTAATAGATCTTGAATCGTAATTCCATATTTGGTTTCGGATTTCATCACGTTGTTGGCGGGGTTCGTATCAGTTGGTATCAGAGCTTAGGATCGTCAGGTTTTCCTATCCTTCTTTTTTGTTTATTGCGTTTTTTTTTCTTTTCTTAGTAAAAAAAAAACGTCCTTTAGGGTTAGGGTTTTCAATTCGGGAAAAGAATTCCGATTGTTAATTAGCTATTTGTTTGAGTTTGAGTCCAACTACTATTGCTTGATTTCGACTCCCACTAGGTTTAGAAAAGCGATTACCAAAAAAAGAGAGAGAGAAATCAGAGGATTGTGACTTGGAACGGCTATAACTTTTAATTCAGAAATCGTTACAGGGCCTATAATATATCAAATCGAAGCTCTTTTCAAGCTCTACAATCTCTTCTAGGCATAGCCCACCGGCACCATTTTTTTGGGCTAAAATTCACTTATTTTCATTAGTTTCAGACCCTTAAAGTTTGAGTGTCAAAAAAAAAATTTTCGTGACAAATTTGTATTCGTTTGGTTTGAGTCTTGACTCGATTGGCTACTTGAATCCTTCTTAATTGATTGGATTAGTTTTGAAAGAACTAGAAGAAGAATACAAGTGGAAAAAAACAGAGTGAGTGAGAATATTATAGGGTAAAGGCCAATTTAACTTGAGTGAAACATGAGTGATTTCAAGTGAAACACGAGTGGTTTGAGTAACTTACTTTCTAAGAGAAACACCTTTTAATCATGTCACAGAATCATGAGAAAAACATGAGTGAAGAGAATCCACCTATCGTTACTCTGAATTTACAACAGCAGGCATTAATGGGAGAGATGAAACGGATGATGAGGGCGGAGCTCGAACACATACATGAGAACGTCCTATCGAATTTACTAATTATGCTATTGTATGGTGGGACCAGGTATGCACCAATAGGAGGCGAAACGGAGAACGTCCTATCGAAACTTGGGAGGAGGTGAAGAGGGTGATGAGGCGACGATTTGTACCAAGTCACTACTACCGAGATCTATAACTTAAGCTACAAGTTCTCTATTAAGGTAACCGGAGCGTTGATGAGTATTTCAAAGAGATGGAGATAGCGATGATTAGAGCCAATGTGGAGGAGGATCGGGAGGCGACGATGGCCAGGTTTTTGAATGGGTTAAATTGAGAGATTACCAACACAATCGAGATACACCATTATGTGGAATTGGAGGACTTGGTGCATATGGCAATTAAGGTTGAGAGGCAACTCAAGAGGAGTGGAACATGACCAAAACCAGCCCCTCAAAATCCGAGTGCAACACTTTGGGGGCCAAACTACCCAAAGAAAGAAGAAAACCCGTCCACCTTCAAGGCCAAACCCGAATACGAACCAACCCCAAATACCAAGGCCTTTCAAGGTAAAACAACCCCTAATTCTACTCGTTCTAGTGAGATTAAATGTTTCAAATGTCAGGAAAGAAGACACATAGCTAGCCAATGTCTAAATAAGCGACTTATGGTGATCCAGGATAATGGAGAAATTGATTCGGAAGATGAAGATGATCTAGAGGATATGCCACCATTGGAGGACGCCCCCATAGGAGAAGAAAAGTATGGGGCAGATCATGGGGAGATGCTTGGGCTAGTGGCACGTCGAGCCTTAAACATGCAAGCTAAGGAAGAGAAAGAAGAAGTACAACGGGAGAACATCTTTCACACGCGTTGCCACGTGAAAGACAATGTATGTAGTGTTATTATCGATGGCGGTAGTTACACTAATGTTGCTAGTACTTCCATGGTTGAAAAGCTAGGGCTCACAACACTTAAGCACCCTCATCCTTACAAGTTACAAGGGTTGAATAACAGCGGTGAAGTGAGGGTTAAAAAGTAGGTTGTAGTACCGTTTCAAATCGGTAAGTATGAGGATGAAGTATTGTGCGACGCAGTTCTAATGCAAGCGGGGCATTTCCTTCTCGGAAGACCATGGT